CGGGCCGGACTTTGGACATGCCTGGCCTACACTTTTAATGTGGCACTGTGGTCACAGCACTAGCACTGGGGTAGAGCTTCCCAGCGCTGCAGACAAACTACCTTCATAAGGAGAGTAGCAAACAGTGCAGAACCTGTTTACACTGGTGCTTTAATTTACTTGCTTCACTTAGGAGAGGTGTTTTTTCACATCCCAAACAAGTAAGTTGCAGTGCAGTAACTTGCCAGTATACACAGGCCCTTACTGCCTCAGCTACAGGAGCACAGCTGTACCAGTGCTGCCATGTGGTAAGTGTAGATAAGTCCTGTTTCTGCCCTGTTTTTCCCTTACTGGGGGTGGGAGGCAACTAGTACTTCAATCCTTTCCTCCCTATGTAATCGGTCAGCTACCCCGGCCAAGAGAGAAAGGGGAAGAAGCCAGGATTCCTCACACTCCTTTCTTTCTCCTCGTTCATTTGCTGGCATTTGGTTGTCATGGGCTAGCAGTCCTGGCTCTTCTCATGGCCAGTGACATTCGGGGCCTGATTCTCAGCTGGTTTAAACTGGTGTCACTTTGTTGAAGTCAGTGAAGTTAGACTAGCTTATAGCAGCAGAGACTCTGGCTCAGGGCTACTCTAAAAGGTGCACTTGCACTTTTTCAGTTTGTTTATTAAGGGCCAGGCTCCAAACTGTGTGAATAATCAATGGAGCAAGGAGCAAGGAGCTGTCTTCAAAGCCCTTGTGCTCTTGCTCAGGCCTCATTTCCATTGCCAATTACATTGAAGGTTTATGTTAAAAGTGCTGCTGAGCACAATGAGTATTTCCTTAATTCATCAGCCCTACTTTGTTGCCATTTTCTTGAATTAGAGTGTTTCCTTTTAAAAGGATTGCACTTAATTCAGAGTGAATAATCAGGGGTAATGTGGAGTGATTTATTCTGCAAGCCTTATGCTGTAGACTGAAATTGCTTTTCCACATCTTGGCACGTGGCGATCCAGAGTGCCCCCCTGATGCATAGCCCAAGAGCTCGGGGAAGGCAGGGAAGCAGTGGCAATATTTGATCATGAGAAGGCTGTGATATGCGTTTGCCAGTAAGCAAACCTGCTCCTGGCTCTTTAATACTGGTGCATTCCCAAAAGACAGAAGTATCAGTACAAATAGACACTACATACATGCAGACAGTTGTTCTAAGGCTCTCAAGTCTTGGAATGACATTAAGGCCTTAGTTTGCCCAGCTCTTAATGAGAGTACAAGGGAAGACGAGACTGCAAACAGTTTCCCTCCCGCTTTGTATTCCTGCCAAGGCCTCAGCCAGAAACACAGCCCTTCACAATGGGAATGTAATTAATAATTAAGCCTAGCAGTGCTGCCAGTGCTAAACTCCCCCAGAGTGGGTGAAGTGTAGATTGTAAACACCCTTCTCCTGCACTTACCAACATAGCTGGCCAAATACAGGGAACAGCACACATTACCCCGTCAATGGGATGGTATCTGCAGAGAGATCTTAGAGGGATCTGAAGGCCTGCAGCACAATGAGCCGTCTTCTGCTATCATTTTATTTACTTATATATATAAACTAGTGCTGGAACAGAGATGGTCACAAATGTCACACAGACAATTATCTCTTTCAGAACCCCTAAAGTTAAACAGTAATGCCTATTTTGCAGAGAAAAATGCAAGCATCTAGTTAGCAAGATTAAGACAGAGATAAAGCATTCTTGTGCTTCTCACATCTCTCCTAAAGAACTGTATCACAAATCAAACAACCCGGCATTTTTTTCTAAGACTAAAAACTTGTTCACACATTAAGAAAAGCAATTCATAAGACTATATGGAACAGTGACATCTGACTATCCCTGTACTAACATCATACATATATTATGATGATTCCTAAAAGAGAGTTTCATTGTGGTAAGTGCTGTTAAGACATTTAGATCTGTGGAACTCATTGCCACAAAATTCCACTGATAGCAAGAATTTAGCATTATTCAAAGCAGAATTGGCCATTTATGTGGATAACAAAAATACCCAGTTTTTAATAGCTAAATTACATTGGGATGAGATATAAATCAAATGTTTCATTGTTTAAACCAATTTCTAACTAGTAGGGATTAGGATGAGACTTCATGGGGGCAGATTATCCCTCATCTTCTTTCTGTAAAATTTCCTGCCTTCCTCTTAAGCATTTGGTGTTGGAGACAAGATATTGGATTAGATAGTCTGTGGGTATCTGATTCAGTATGGCAATTCCTGTGTCCCATATACACTACAAAGAACATATGCTGTAAATACACAAAAGAGTCAAAGCACAGAGGAAAGGAAATATTTTTTTGCTATTTCACAGATGGACAGACAAGACGCAGGAATAGTAAGGGCCAGAACTTTCAAGGTATTCAGGGACTTAACTCCCATTGACATCTATGTGAGATAGATTCTTAAATATCGTTATGGACCTGGGTCTAAATGGCTTGCTCAACATTATGCAGGAAGTCTGTGGTGAACCCAAATCTTCTCAGTCCAGTCCAATGTCATAACCACAAGACCATCTTTCTCAATTGTTTTTTTTTCTTGTATTGACCACAATACTCTTGTTTAAGAATAAACAATATGAAACAGGAAGACACGTTCAAATTCTCTGCTTGAGTTACTGTTCTCCAAACAAAATGGCATGCAGGTTTTAAACTGGCAGCAGTAAAAGTTGCCATTAAAATTGGTTCAGCTGTTACCATCACATTGAACTGTGGGCAGACAAAAACTCCAAAATGTAGAGAGTCAGGGGTATTTGTATAAAAACATCACAAGTGTGTGATCTAGGAGTACTATACTGAGTTTGACAGATATACGAATTTTGTGATGGTGAATGAAAATATATTTGTGGCTAATATATTAGAGATTTTTCTCAAAAAAAAATTATCTAATCATGATTCTTTTATAGCGTTGCGGAGATCAGTATCTGCAGAGGTTACATCTCTACTGTAAATATCAAGAGTCCAAAGAAAAAATTTAACTTCACCTTGCTTTTAATAACTTGTAAGTTTGGTTTTATAAATAAAGTGACTTGCTCTCTTAGGCCAAATCCTATTGTTCTTTCCCATTCCTGCAGTACCCCCTACCAGATCTGAATTTGCAGGAGTTGCTGATTGAACAATCACAGAAAGGAATAATTACCATGCTGCAAATGATGGTTAGATTTTCTCTGAGATGGATAAGTGGAACATACATTATTTCTACAGAAAAATATCTTAATGTTACATGTCTGCATTTGTTCTAAATCTGCCTAGAGCCAGCAAGCACAAGGAGGGAGTGAGGAAGATGTACAACATAGGCATCAGACCTGATTCTCTACACTGAAATGTTCTAGTTCAACCATAAGTTAAGGGCTTGATAAATATATTATAGGGGAGGCTTTTTCATAGGCGATCAGGCTAGATTATCATAATGGTGCCTTCTGGCCTTAAAAAGGTACAGACCTATTAATTTTATTTGGTCTTTTAAGCTGTGTAAAGTTAGGGTTGCCAGATGGTTTAACCAAAAATATAGAACACTCCCCCTCCCGCCAAAAAAAGAAAAAAAACACCAGGGAAAAAATTCTGTTGAGGGGGGAAAAAAGGAGGAGACCAAAGCTGTTGAGTTAAAAAAAAAGGATCTTGAGAGTTATTCAGCAAACTAACTAACTAAATAAATTAAATAAAACAGCATGGCCCCTTTAAGTGCATGCAGAGTCAAAACAGGGCTAGGAAGAGGGGAGAGGTTGAGCACTAAGACACAGGGAAGACATTGCTTCAGGTCTTTAGGCCTTTTGCCAGCAGCCATTTTGTTTTCTTGATCGAGGCAGAACACAGCTTCCCTGAGGAACCAGGTAAACAGGAGATCCGGGGGTGTAGGACCGGGGACCTGGGGGAGGGGGAAGGCGGGCCCAGACTCAGTTGCTGAGTGTGTCGTAGGGTTGCCAAGTGTCCAGTATTTTTGCCTCTAGCAGGGGAAAAAAACCCAGAAAATACCAGACATTTAGGTGTCCAGTATTTTCTGAATTTTTTTACTGGACAGGAGGCAAAAATAACGGACTGTCAGGGTCAATACAGGACACCTGGCAACCTATGTAAAGTAGTTGTAAGACACACAAGTGTTAAGTGATCATGCCATGAAAAGCATAGTGGAGAATCAGTTCCTCTAGAGGCCAGGGAAGGTATAATGCTCTCAGAGGAATGATCTCCCCAATCAGAGTCGATCTCTTTGTGGTGTTTAGCATATGTGTCAGGTCTCCAGATCCCAAATTAGCATGCAGCCCATTGAGGTTCTGTGTGTGACCAACGAGACATTTTGTTTACTGATGTCCACATGCAGGGCTGCCAGATTCCACTGGTTTCTGTCCACATAGTTTTTTTCCTACCAGTATTACTAAAGAGATATGCATGCAAAGTAAGGGCACGTGAAGTGAGGTGTGTGCTGACTGAAAACTACATTGACTGTGAAAGCCGTGGGCCCCCTCTGCATCCAATCAAAGCAGAGCTAAACTTCAATTAGCAACTCCTGCAAATTCTAGGTACACAAGTGCAGTCAGCAAAACTACCCTCTCCAGGAGCTGGTCTTGGTTACGATAATTTTGCAGCCCACTGAAATGAGGAGGGCCACTCATGTGGCAGTGATGGAGACCAAAGTGGGACCCAGTGAAAAAGAGACTGAAAGACACATGTGGATAGAGAGTCTCAAAGCAGGATGGGCTTATGGAGGTGGGATAGAGGAACGGAAGCTTCAGAAGAAGCTGACTTGGGAGAAACAGGGCTCAGAAGGGATCTGGTGCCATGTCAGAAAGGGAAATAGGCTGTGTAAATAGCCTCTTAAGCCACTCATCCCCGTTCTCTCATTCCCCTTGAACTCACTTCCCCCAGTCATTCTCCAGTTAGGGGTTGGATCAGTCTTTCTACACAGGGATAAACTCTGTGCACAGTAACAAGTTCATCCATTTAAACTAAACATGTAAAAACTGGTAACAACTGTAGCAACGGTATGTATTTTAGTTACCTGGTATTTCATTGATATTTGATGTTGCCTCTAGCACATGCAAAGCACAACTGCTTTGGTAAAAGTGGAGCTGACGTCAGAAAGTTTGAGAATCTCTGTAGTAAGAAGCACGAAGCAGCCATGTCTGGAGTGGAATCTGGCAGCTGCACAACAAACAGTCCAAAGTAATGTTACACAATGTGCACATCAGGTTGTGAAGCATACTTGTCCTATCTGAAGCTGCAGGGAGAGTTAGATATACACCGTGTAATTCCTAGTGCTGCATAAAACTGGTGGTTTTGTGTCATAGGCAATCACATGAATATTTGGACTAGTAACTGCTTTTAATCATCCTCTCCCCAAGTTTCACCCTGAGTTCTGGCTTCTACCAAATTCCAGCTGGTTTTGAAATGTAACAGGGTAGAAGGGCAGATTTTGTCTTCATAAATATGAATCAGCCAAGATTGCTCAAAAGGATTGAGAAACAAATTAGGAGAGTGTAGCATGGTTTAAATTTCATTCTGAACTTTGTATACATTTACAATCATTTCCCATTTTGTAGCACTGGAATTTAGTTCAGACACTGGGATGAGCACCCCAACACTTATGAAATGTGCTTAGTCTATTTAGTAACCACAAGTGTGTTATGACTAGACATCTGTCAGAGCTGTGGCAATCAGAACTTGATTTAGATACAGATGTTAACTGCCCCTATATTTGGGGACCATTTGGACCCAGGGTTCTAGATTGGGGGGCAGGGTAATAAAAATATTTAGCACTTAGATTGAGTAGCCCTTCACATCATCAAGTGCTATGCAGTTGTAAATGAATTACCATCACATTAGTCTCTCTATCTGAGTTTTAAAAGTGTGAGAAATTGAGAAAAGAGAGTTTATTGTTAAATGATTTGCCCAAAGGTTCACAGGAAGGCAGTGGCAAGTCACCAGGCTTGTGCTTCCTGCAATAGTGAGAGCTCCCATCCTGAAAAATGTACTGAGGATAAATGCCAATGGAATTAACATGGCCTAATAGACTGAACACGGGGCTACGCAAACTCTTGAGTGTTGAATGCTAAACTCTGCTCTTCCACTGACTCCAGGTCTGGTCTTGGTTATGCATCTTAACTTCTCTCTGACATTCACTCTGCCCTTCTTCCATCAAAAATGTGAAGCTGCCTAGGTGTAGAATGGGGGGTAGAGGTCCACAGCGGGACTCCAGGAGCTGCACTTTAATGGTAAAAGAGCAGCATGTGGCTTTTAAGCCACAGATTGGCCAGTGCATTTATACACCATTGTAGTTGCATTGAGTAAGGGTTTTTGCCAGTGAAGTGGAAGGAGATTCAACTCCATTAGATTCTTGACTTGAAAAATATGTGCCCATTTCAAATAAAGCAATCTCACTGCTTACTTATATTGAGAGCCTCCATGTCACAATAAAAGGGAGGTTGGTAGCTTATCTGAGATGTTGATCAAATTTTCACAACTGTATTGTTGGTATAAAACAGCTACACCTAGTTTTTTGGAGGAAGTATCCTTTATAGTTTCCCCTCTTTGCTATCTGCACAACTGCAGTCGGTAAATTATTTCTGTTCACTTTAATCAATTTTTTATTATTCTTCAAAATATCTCATTTTATATTTCTGGCATTGCTCAAAATAAATCCTTTCAAATGCTCTGCAGTATTGTCATAAGGGATGTTAGGTTTCATGCAGTATGGACATTTTGTCTTGGAGTTAATGAATTGGTAAATGAGCAAGTAGTGATTTGAAATTAGTTAATTGTCGTAAGTTAAAAATCTATGTAATAATGTGTTCCGTTAACTGAGCTGCCATTTATTGTCTTTGACATTTTCCCCAGTTGGATTCTTTCTCTGTCTCTTGGTTTTAGCGCTGAGTGCATGAGATGACTAAACTGAGAGGTTCTAATGAGCACAGATTTTTGCTTATGCTACTTAGAAAGATCTCAGCACCATTCCCATTTCATATCCTCAGATAACCTTCCACCTACAGCTGCTAATCTTGTTACATTTTATGGTTCTAGCCTGCACCTAAGGTTACTCAAAATCTATTGTTGACTTCACCTTCATTTTGTGTTTAGATATCTCATCAAACTACTAGATAGCTCTGTTTGCAAACATTAATTAAGCCTTCTCTACCTATTTGATAGATTGGGAAACTGTTGCATGTTACAGCTCTGAACAGAACCCGAGAATTATAACCAAAACAATCCTGAAAGGAAACCCAATACAACAGGAAAGTCATTTGACCCCAGATTTTACTGCGGATTTGAAAGTCAAACAGGAACCTGAAGCTGAAGGCAAAACTAAAGAGGGGGTATCTGGGAAGGCCAGGTACGGAACTGAATCCTAACTATGGTTTGATTTGACTTCAGATTTCACTGCAGATTTGAAATTCAGACAGGAACCTGAAGCTGAAGGCAAAACTAAGGATGGGGTATCTGGGAAGGCCAGGTAGGGAACTGAATCCTAACTATGGTCTGATAAGCCAATCTCAGATAGGCCTGTGGGTGGGAACCCAGGATAACACTCTGCTTGGTGCATCTGGTATAGAACAGCAGAGTCTTTCTATGTGCCACTTCAACTGTATAGTCTTAAGGTGGCTGATGGATTCCTCAGAGCTCACCATCTCTTTCCTTAAAATGTATGCATTTCAGGGATTTGGGATGGTTTTTTTAAATATAAATCTGTGGACTTGAGGTAAGAGCACTTCTTTCACTGACTGCAGGCCCTAATCTGCTTCAGCATCTCATACATTGAGGAGCTTGACTCTCCAGTTTGGTTTATTTTTTTAACCTAAAATCTCTTTCTCTCCTTTCAATAAAGTAAATATGTGAGTAATCTCTGTGCTCCTTTATAAGGGCTGCAGCCAAGAACATACTTTGGTTCATGATTAACTCTGAGTGGAAGCTTATAAGCCTACTCATGTGCTTCATAGCTTTGTTGGATCAAGGCCTAGAATTACAATTGTATTGATGATCGCAGGTAGACTCACTACTCTGGTGCACCCAGGAAATATAATTTTATATTTGTTCCTTCCTCTCATTCCTCAGAGAATCCTCTAACAGAGGGAGCTAGTTATTTTCTCATTATTAATGTTCTCCACCAGAAAGCAGAAATGCAAGTTTAATAGTGCATTATTTCTGTGTCTCAGGGGGAGGAGGAGGAAAGCAGAGAATGGAAATGTGCTTATGAATATAATATACTTTGGATTAAGTTATGAGACTCTTTTATCATGGATAGAATTGTTACAGATGTTACAAGCACCTGTTGAGGATGAAAGGAGTTAGAATGGCTTGTGGCGTTGCTGTAGTTAGGCAGTCTATCAGCACTTCCATTATAAAGCTCCTGTTCTTATGGGCTTATTGCTCAACAGCGACAATTTATTCCTGGATGAAACTTAGCAAATTGAGTCTCACTGAGGAGAAGCAATTTTGTTTGTCTGTTTTTTTCTTTCCCCCCTATTTTTATTAATTTGTTTTAATCGCTGCTGCTATGTTTAATTTATTCGTATTAGAGAAGAAATACATATACTTTAAGAACTGGGTCGCTTTTCATTTTGTTCTTCAAAACCAGCATTAATTTTGAAAAGCTAATTAGAAAGCAAACAATGATTTCACAATCGCTCAGGGCCATAATTCTCTCAGCTTCTGTGAGGAAGAAGGAGGAAAAAGAAGCAAAACTTGCTGAGTGCAAGGAGTTACTGAAGCAGTGATTACCAGCTTCGTAGCACACTTCCCTCTTACCCGGACCCTGCAGAGGATTCACCCTTGGACAAATGCAGGGGCCAGAATTTCCACAGGGTTAGGAGTCAGAGCTGCTCTCTGTCATTCTTCCCTTGAGATTTCCTAGATTTCCTATTGATTAATGGTACTTCACACACTTTAGGTGTCCCCCGAAACTGCTATGAGGCAACCTCCATGGTTCCGCACCCCTGGGACCTAAGTGGTCCTAACTACAGAGTTTGCTATACCAGGGGAGATGAAGGCTTCCCTCCCAGCTGCCAACCCTGCTCCTGGGTGCCAGCCCCAGCCACTGGGCTCTGCTCCTGGCCCTAGGCTGGGCTGCATCCCTGGCCACCAGCCCTACTGCCCCTGCCCTGTAGCACTCCCCATTTGGGACTGGAACTGTGCTCCTACTGCACTGGCCCAGCCGGAGCTACTCTCCCAGATGCCAGCTCTGCTGTCTCCTCACTGTACTGGCCCTGGCTGGGGTTTGCTGCTAGTCCCGCCCCCACCAGCCCAGCCCCTGAACCTGGCCAGCCAGGGCTCTCTGGTCCAGGATATCCGGAGGACCACGGACATTGTTGAACCACAGAGTCTCAGATTTTAGAGGTTCAACCCGTAATTAGGGATACTCAGTGACTAGTTTTATGACAATTTAATTTATGCCCCTGTGCTTATTGTAATACTCAAAACAGTAATATTCAAAACAATGCTGCCCTCTTAAAAATATGCATCAGATATCAGAATAATCTCATTTTCCACAAAATGATTTTTTTTAAATCTATGTTTTCCTAGTGTAGCCTCAGTTTTTCCAGTAAGAGCTTAAGCGTGTGGTCCCTAGGCAAAACTGATCATCCTCTTATTCACACTGGTGAGAGTCAGGACTCACTAAATGAAGTCAAAGGAGTAATACCCATTTGAAAGTGGCCAAAGAGAATCAGACACAATGATTTCAGTGGGTGTTTTAGCAGAGCAGAGGCTTCAGGATATGGTCTTAAATTGGAGGACAAAAAGTCAAGTGTCTGTTCCAGAAATACTACCAATCCCCAAACTCCTCTAAGGGACTGTTGTGACAAGAACATATAAATTAGAGATTGAAATGTCCTACTTGATCATTAAGGGCTGGATCAAACATTCACTGAAATTAATGGAAAAATTCCCTTTGATTGCACTGGGTTTTGTACCAGCCCCTAAATGCATTTCTCACAAATGCAGATTTGCATTGCGTTGTCTCCAGGGTAGTGTCTAATGCTTTGTCCAGTTTCGTTTGAAAGTGACCAAAGTGATGGTGATTCTGCTATAAGTGAAAGCCTCACAGTGAATAAAATTTTATCCTTCATTCTTCATTTCAGTTTCTATGCATATAACCCTATTTTAAAATGGGTATTGTTATTTTTTAAAATAATTTTAC